TGAGGATGCATTCATTTCTTAGGAAGTGCATAAAGAAAATTTCGTAGGTTGATCTCACCAAAAGACGACCACTGAATCCCATTGTACTGCAACCGTTTATCTTTACTACGACATTCAGGTTGACTTATTCCAGGAGATATCCACCTTTGCTTTTGGTGAAAATATGCTGAACCTTTGTCCATATGATTGACATCAGAGCTGGAACTCATTATTGTAAAAGTCTCACGATAGCAATCGGTTAAGAAGACTGTCCGTTTTCCTCGAAGCGAGGGCGGGTGTCTCGTAGACTTAATGAACCTGAAAGTTGTATTTAAGCCAAACGGCTGCAGTACAACGGGATTCATCCCTCTTCTGGTGATATAAATCTACGAATCTCTTCTTCATTCACTTTCATAAAAAATGAAGGTCTCTTAAAAACAATAAAGTAGTGTATTTTGATTTATATTTCCTATTTTATTGTGAAAATTTTTTGAGCTTTTTTGCAGGCCTATCCTCGTCAATAACTTTACTATTGCTAGATAGTATGACTCGAAATTTATCGGTGTTTTGCCAAGCACCTATGAGCATCCCAGAAGTTTACTATTCCATAAGTTCACCAAAGTCTGATCGACTTCATGCATATTATCTTAATTGTGCTTAATTAACTGTGGACCTTCGTATATAAGTTCCCTTTTTTATGATCAGACTGGTTATCTATGCTTAATACGCTTAACGATTTTCAGATGTAAGTGGCTAGAGACTCTCTGTTACGTGATCATCGCCTCATGTCCAGGTTACGCTGTTTTTCACATGGTAAGAGACATATAGCTTACTAAGCCTATTATCTTTTTTTCTAATTTTTCTTAACGAATCTCATAGTCATTATGCAATAACAACATCAATGAAATCATCTCCACAGGCTTCGAGGCCTAATCTATATAGCATCTCCAAGCATCAGATTGCACAAGGATTTATTAACTTTTTTATACCTTTGAGATTAATCATATTAATTAACCTTGCAAATTTATAAGCTCATCAATTATGTATACCTATCCTTGACCACTTTAAGAATTTCATGAATATCCTATTTTTGGTAAAGTAAAACAGCATTTAATGAAATTTGCTTGGCCTTGTTCTCTCAACTTGGTCACATTTTCAGGGCGACCTTGTCCGTAGCCCATAATATCGATGATGATGTACAGTCGGGCCGTGAACTTGGTACTTTATTGAAGATTTCCTGGCAT